CAAATGAAAGCAGACATCAAAAGGTATTGTTAAAACACCGCCAAAAATACCCCGATATAAATGAGTAACTGAAAGCGCAAAMTATGCAATACGCTGCTTCCCAAAACCACAAATGAATTTCATTGCATCCAGTATTTCTATTACAGGGTGGAAAAAACTAAAGGTAACAAGTCGAATATAAACTCAAGCAATTCACAAAGAGCGGCTTCAGTATAAAGGACATATATGGCGGCAACTCCTTGACGCCATGCTCCTCAATAAAAGCAACACCAAAAAAGAATTTTCAAAGTTAAGCTCCCTAAAATAAGCATAGTTTAAATTAACGCAAGATGCGAATAGAATGAAATTGAGAGCAGACATTTTTGTCCATGAAATTTCCATTGTCTAGGTTTGAAAGTCAAAGAAGCGCGGACGGAAAAAGACAAGAAATAAGGAGCTTATGAAGTGTAATTAGTTTAATATCCATGAGGAGGGCTTTCTTGTATGTCTTAATGCGTTTTCTAATACAGTGCACAATTCTGAGAGTATCTATAACCACTTAAAATCCAAAGCGAAAAATAGTTTTTTTTAGTTGATTTATAAAAAGAAAAAACTACTCTATATTATATGTATATATCTTATGGTGTAGCAGCTTCGTATCCATAGCACCTCAGAGTGACCAACTGGGGTGTTCTGGGTATGAAATGTCTGTGTAGTAGGCTCTCTTGAAGGGGGTTGGGGCTGAACCCAAACTCTTTGAGTAAGCCTGGGTTGGTGCTGAACCAAACCTCTTTAAGCCTGATAYTGAGGCTTTTGAAAATGTACTAGTGATGGATGGCTTAACTTATTTTTGCTATTCAACCAAAGCAAACCAAAGAAACCGCAGTAACAAAACTTACAAAATAGAATGTAAAATTTTATAGTTTTCTATTCCAGCCATGTTTGAAATGTATTAAATCTGGAGCCCAAATTGCTTAAAATTAATAAAATTTAATTCAAGAAAACTCAATTGTTTAAAAGAATATTATCTTATTTTTGTGTGATTTTGTTGTGATTTGCTAACATGAATAACTCTCTTACTWTATTTACTATSAAAGGGGTATARAATGGTGTCTCATAAATCGCGAGGCTTGCCAAAAATTTTGCAAGGYTCACAAGCTCGGCGCTTAAAAGAAAGGGGCTCAGATTTAAAATTGCTTTTGGCTYGGAAGCTCRCAATTGCMGAAATATYGGACTCGTTCAGCCAAAGGCTCAGGTTCGGATTTTAAAAYGAGGGGCTCGCAGGCTCAGCGAGGCTCGGAATTTTACCATTCGATACCCCTTATSAAACAATATGAATCTGTTGTTTTGTGTTCCACAAGGGATTAATAAAACAACAGTAGATTTACCCTAATAAACATTGGCACTTCCTCTCTATCCAAAAGGTCCTTCGATAATTTTACGTTTATTTATGTAAACTGCCTATTTCAGATCACATGATATTTTCTGTAATGAAGTATATACCTTACTTGCCACTGACTGCTGTTCAGCCATTTCTCTCCACATTATCATGTGGTCTGAAAGAAGGCCAAAGTAGGTGATGAGATCTATTTTCACTATYTTAAATTCTCTTGTTATAGAGTTTTATATAAAAAGTAAATTGAATTAATTTGATGTGGATTCATTGAGGAGGCGACCCTGGTGGTGAATCTGCATCCTTTTGAACTAAGCCTTCAATTGAAGGGTATGCATCGGCCCACAGTTTAGCAAGCTGAAAAAAATAAATAAAAATAAAATTTTATGAAAAATAGTTATTGGTAGTAATTACTGCAAACAGCTACTTTTCCCATAATAAAACCATAGCTAAATAAACCTGCTGAAACTCTGGTACAAGTCTCCACAGGAATTTCTTAGAYTCATTTTCCTTATTTACTCCTTCTCGTCCCATTCTCCTGCATTTTTTTACACAGGAAACCCAAAAACAGAGAGAAGAGCTGCAGAGGAGGTTCAAGCTGCCTCTAGGTCGTTCTTCATAGTATTCAGATCAAACCAAGAATACAAAGAAACCTAAACAAGGATACARTATTCCAGTCAAAGCTTGAGCCTCCTCTGCAGCTCTTCTCTCTATTCTTGGGGTTCCTGTGTACAAACCTCTTTGTTTCCTAGAGAACTTGAGGCAATCATTTGCTCCAGTGCTACCGCAATCATCTTGACATTGGCATGAACCAACTGGGTCTCCATCTGTAAACAATGAAGAGAGAAGAAGTTTCTATTCTCCATGTTGCTGATATCTGCTTCTTGTTCCAAGATCTTGCTTTCCAATGCATCGAAAAGGTTGTCTTGTCCTTTGGCTTGAGACATGATTTGTCTCTTTTTGATCTGCTGCATTTTGTGTAAAGCATTTTGATGGTCTTTCAAAACACCCTTTTCATGACGGTCACAGAGATCCTGGAAATAAAAATAAATTCTTTTGGTTACTGTTTTAATCAAATTCAGAGTTGAACTCCAAACAGGCATGAGAGATTCAATCAGACTTTAATAACTAGTAGTTTTATGTGGACATTGTGAGCCCAAATGGCCATGTTACCTTATCATAGTATGATTTTCAATAATCTACTTTATTCTTATTCTTAAATCTACTTCACAGTAAAATTTATATCATCAGACTACAAAAACCCACTAACCTTGTATGAACTTGTGATTTCAAGAAAAAGTGCCAAGGTTTCTACAGCACCAATGTCATCCCGTTTAAACTAAAACACAATGCCAATGTTAAGTACTGTATTCMCTGCTGAATGTTATCAATAGAGTCTTTGTCTTCAATACACATACCCATTGTGCTGCTTTGTCTGATATTTGACTAAAATGATTCGTAAGACCATTGAATCCATGCTTTAAGTGTCCCCATGAGTCATTGTTACCACTGGCCCAGACTGTTGTTGGATGTGAATCTCCACTAAGAGCACTACATAAGCAGTAAACAACAAAAGGTTTCAAAACTGAATCACACAATAATGTCACAACTGTAATAAAATTTGCAGCAGCTGAATTTGATAGCAGGAAAAGCAAAAGAGTTTAGCATTTAACATGAACAATCAGAGTACAAACACTAAAAGTGTGCAATACTTTATACTATTTACTACAAAATAGTGGTAATTAAACAATAGAAAACAATAGAATTAGCATAATTTTGGCAGTATTTAGAGGTATTTATGTTGCACAGTTTTAGTGTTTGTACYCTATCACCTCATTTACGGAAATAAGAAGTACAGCTAATTGCATMAGACATACCTTAATTCTCTAGCAAATGTCAGCATATCCATTGAAAACCCTACAAAACAACTTGARTTAACTGACATACTATCCATGAACATGAAACACAAGTAATATTATTGAAAAGAAGTACTCCACATATTATTCTTGTTTTGGGGTTTTCCGTGCACTCTTGGTAATAGCACAGGAAACCCACAACTAGAACARGCCATTAGYAGAGTGAGCTGTCGTCTCTACTTAAACTACAGCAGTTTACCAAGTGTCCTTGCAGTCTGTCTGTCAGCTACATCTTTCATTTTGTCAACAGAGTTATGAATACAACGGATTTGATCTTTACTAGCACTGAAACTTGCTTGAACATCCATYGGAACCAACTCCTGCAAGTGAAATAATAAAAACTTAAGTAATTATTGAATGTCATTTTTAGTGAACTGAGTTAAAAGTTAAGATTTCTTCTAAAAAAAAACAGAGTAAATATGGTCATTTAGTTAACAAGAACTTACTCTTATTCCAGATGATAAAGGACTTGTCACAAATTCATCAGGATATGATTTGAACTGGTCCTTCATCTTCTGTCCAATATCCTATAAACAAATCAGGAGAAAAAAATSGGTGGTTACTTTATTTCCTAACACCTTAAATGATAAGCAAAAGAAAATGAATAATACCCCTTTCAAACCCCACCCTCTCCATGTGGGTAACACTCACCGATCCTTTGATAGTGAAAAAGAAAATCACTATTTTGTCTTCACAAAGAACAGGGTGACGTGCTACAAGGGTCAAGAAACGCTTCAGTGCTTTTCTTCTTGCTTCAATGAACTCTTTACTGGCTGCAAAAGAAAGAATTCAGAATGTAAAGGACAAGTTATGGGTTTTGTCCATGTATAATCYAGYATTCAKAACATGATACTTGGWCTCTTGTGTCTTACCTCCCATCAGCTTCTTTGGGGGGAGCTTGGGAACAAGACGGTATGGGAATCTTTGCAGCAAAACATCATGAAAAGCAACAAAGTCATTATATCTCCTGTTCACAGTAATGTTATGTCTCTGCAAAAGAAATGATAACRTGGTTACCTAACAGAAGAAGCAGTTGCACTTCTATGAAGATAACTGCAGCATTAGCAACTAAACTCATGTATTAATTTGTGTTCTCTTTCTAAAGTTTGATGTCTACTTTTTGCAATACTGAAGTAGTTTTATTATTAGAAAACAATACTAACCCGACTGGAAACATGATATTCATTGTGCTTGAGTATAATTCCTTTCTTTTCTGCCAGCAGTTCAACTTCAATAGTATCAAGACTTAAGAGATCTTCGTATCCATAGCCCAAAATATTGGGATTTTTTTCTCTGTGTACTCGAGCACTAAGTGTTTTCAGGTCAGATAAATCACCCAATGATGGTTTTGGCAATTCTGTAGGAAATRKAGGAAATAGAGGAMAWGRCATAAATCAACAATATTATCTAATCAGTCATAACATCCTAATGTTTTCATTCATAATATGATAAGCTTATTAAAGGCAAACATTTAGCTTTAGGTTAAATGAATGTTGGCTTCCTGAATGACACTGATTTGTTAGAATTTCCATGGTTACACTAGTAGTTGAAAGTATTGTTTGACAGGAAGGATTTGAGAGTTGGTAAGCCTTATGACTATAATACAGAAACACATGATAGCTGACACATGTTATAAACAAACAGAACAAAAGATACTCAAAACAACCTGAGTCTGAAAATGATTCCAGTGCTTTGTCTGATACTGGTTTTCCTTGTTGTGCCAGTGCAGTTAATGCAAGACCCTTGTAAAGTCCGTCTCTTGTCACGTAGCCATCTTGTTTGGGATCTACTGCCTCCCATATCTACAATATAAGAGCATACTTGTTATGACAAAGAAATTGAGTCGYCTCTRGCTTGAATAACAAATTTTATTGCAGATGTTTCRATGGCAACTGGGATAAAATATTTTGTGACCGTACTTGTAAGTTGTAATGCAATGATGTATGGAAAAATCAGAGGCAATAGATTACAGTATGTTTAAATTTATTATATGCATTATGTTAGCTTGTCAAATGCATGCATGCATGTATGTAATTAGTTGAAATTGTATCTTCACCATATGGGGACTTTTACATT